CTGCTCACCGGTATCCGTGACGTTCAAAAAACGTCATTGTCATTCCTGATCTAGATATTAGTGATCGTGCAGGTCAAAAGGAACAACGCACCATCAGTGAGTGTCAGAGCCACGAGGAATAGCGAGAAGGGTGGTAGGTGGAGTCTTGCATTTAAAGTGGCAAAAAAGCTGATAAGATCACATATGGAGCGACAATTTTGAATATCTGGTAATATTTCAGGCTGGCGGTACGCGAAGCAATGTTTGAAGAACCCACCAGTAACGCTGCCATCAAGAATGGATTAAAAATTGGCACCAGACGGTACACAGGTTCCAAGTAGAACGATCTACAGAGGTGAGCAGCAGAGCTGGATCAGTTCGTCGGGGAAACTCACGAAATTGAAGCAACGCTGGACATAGTCGATCATCAACATCAGCAACACGAAGGTCCAGTCCTCGTCTATCACTCACTTGCCGGTTCCAAAGAAAGCCACCTGAACGAAAAAACAAGAAAAAGAGTGATTCTGATATGGTCAGTGTGAAACTCGTATCCTTGATTCTGCGAAGCGGCCCTAGCTCGAGTTGACTGGACGATCGTTTCGACTTCTATCCACAAGAGTAATTGCATGTGAAGCGGCATAGAATAGGCCTTCAACACTGATCGAAAGAATGACGAAACAGACGCCGAAGCCCAGGAAAAGCGATATGATTCTTGAGGTTGGAGTGCTGTGCTGTGCTTTAGAGATGAATGGGAATGCCGACGATACAGCTGAGAAGTGTAAAAGTCAGATGAATGACTGATGTCAGTTGATTAGCAAGGGTACCGAGTATGAGCCATGCTGAAGATTGGTTAATGATGGACAATCCCTGCTTTGCTTGTAAACTCTTCACTGAGCTTGCAGTAATGGTCATGGCGAGCAAGATAAACAACACCTTGGATACGAATGAGTTGACTACATAGCGCCATTTACAACTACCTACCTGGGTGATCTCAGATAGTTTTGCGGCTTTCGGAGCACCGTTCAACGCCAAACGCGTACAACCTGCGGCAACTATAATAATCATTGCCCCTCCGCACATGCTAAGACATAGATGAGCATAAGCAATATGCACAATCTGTCAGACTGCGCTCACATCATGTACAAATCCTCTCTCTTGTTAACGCTGAGTAGGGGGAATATGCTAGTTACAAGACAGCTACTCATCCAGGAAAGTAAGAGTCTCGGGTGTTGCGACCGAACGTGACTTGGCCATGATGCATACGGCCATAAAATACCCATAACCACAAAACCAATGCTCCACAGCGACCGATGAGTGTAGGCAGCCTGAACCATTCGTAAGTCAAACAAGCTTCATAAAATGAACAAGGATCGACGCACGACCATACACTGGAGCACAACCACCACAATAACCAAGTGAAGCAACACTCTAATTACAAAAGGTCCGCGTCTGTCCTTCGACTTGAATTGTTGTACAACAATTGGAACTCCACGCAGTGCGAATTGCTGCCAGAAGTAGCAGGGGAAAGTCACATAGACATAAAACGTCCATGGAGCTCTCTCTGCAGCAAACAGTGCCCAAAATGTTGCTAGTATGGTTGTGGTGGCAAGTATGACCACGGTACGCTGCCTGTCTGAAACCAAGGGAGCTGGTGGGGGAAAAATTGACAACGATGCATAAGCAGACCATCCCAGATATGCTATTACGACGATGGTCCGTATAAGTACTCGGTTATAGCTGCATTCTCTCAGTAATTGTTCCTAGCGGTAGTCAAGCAGCTTACGTTTCGAGATATCGAAGACCTTGTAGAGTGACCTTGATGAGTTCAGCTGTCTCTCGACGGGCTTCGAACCATCCTCCATCACTGATCAAACGTTCTATTTTGGACAACCAGGATACTCTTGAAGGCTTCCCGTCTTGAGTGACTTCTTCTAAAGGCTCGAAAGCTTTGTATAGAATGGTTTGTACGGCCTTCGATTCTACCAGCCAGCTAGTTATGGACAGAGAAGCCAGATGGCGCATTTGGGACGCACCGTGTTTGACTCGGTAGTGTTCTAAAATACTTTCTGCATTTGCCAATGCAAGCTGGGCCAAGGCTGACTCTCCTTCTCGCGGTAGTAAGTAGCCAGGTCGCGTAGGGTCTGCATCAGGGAGAATTCCTACTGAATTTACAGGGTAGTTAATACCAAGCAGCGCAGCCATCAGGGGTGCAATATCCGCTTGTTCCACGTCTCGTCGCAAGAAGTCGTCAAGTTGCCAGAGCCGAGAGTACTCATCGTGCGAAGAAGGAATGATGTCAGGCATTGGGCCCCTAATGCCTCGCCCCCATGCAATTAGTGGGGTACGCGTGTTGTCCGGGTCTGCGAACTCCTTCAGTACCTCATTGTTAAAACTGATACAGCGCGGACCTCACCGCCATCACCATGGTTGCCGATCTTAGACATGCCGTGGTCAGCTGTAAATACGAAGCTTGTCTCTTCGTCGTGGTAGAAGTCGGAGAAAAGTTCTTCTGTTTGTTGGACGATGCGATCGACGACTTGGATATTGTTCATGTATTCCTTTACGGGGTAAATCAATGAAAACGCACTAATGGAGATGCTCACCTTGGAGTGTGGCCTATATGAGTGACCAGTGGTATCCAGACCAAGGAGGTGCAGAAAGAATACCACCTTGTCAGCACGTAATTCTGAATCAAGCAAGTCGTTCGATGATGCGTTCTGAAATAACGTCTGAAGTTGGTCCAAAACCCAGGTATCTAGAGCGGTGGCATCTATCCATTTGGTCTGATTTAATAACATGACTGCAGTAGCTCTGGACATTCGTGCCTTTCGTAAAGTCTTCGTCCTCCTCATCGTAGCTCCAAGTGTCAACTTTTCCGGGAGTTGCGCCTTGGGAAAACATTGGTAATATGTCTGGGGAACCGAAGGAGAAGGTGTGACTAGATTGATTGAAGATGGAGTCAAAGTGAACCTGGAGAAGGATGAGATATCGTTCGCGGTGTCTGTTGCTACAATACTGACTGGATTCGTTTTCCAGCCCTATCTCACGATTCTCGTCAGTATATGATGACAAGGAGAAACAAGAAATGGGCACTTTACCTTGGTCACAGCAGAGACATCCTCATACATTCCCCCTTGAATTTTGTGAAGTCAGCCCAATATTACTGATGTATCGGGCAGTGGCATACCGATGATTGCGACATGCCCAGGTCGACTTTCCGTTGGTACTCGAGTGTGCGACAATCCAAACGCCCCTCGTGTTTGAATAATATCACGCAAATAAGGCGCTACAATCTTTGGTGAGGAAGGAATAAAAGAGAACGCGTTCACACCAAATAGAAGGTCTGCGCGTAGACCGTCTCCTAATAGGAATTGATGGATGAGCAGTTGGTGTTACAGAAAGTGAAGCTATACTTGCCCACAATGAGAACGACCCGTTTTGCTTCCCCAGAGCCAGCTCTGCGAGGAAGCATGCCGTGGACAACTGGGCTAGTGAAGTAGCAGTCAAAAACAGAAGCAATGAATACGACGTGGAAGATGAGTCCCTAGTGTTAGCAACTTGAGAACATTTCTATGTGATGACACTGTCATTTGTATGCTTGAACAGAAGCCACGGATCTGCAGCTCGGGCCGTTGACTTGCAAAGTGTGTGAATAATATGCCTTTTCAAGATGCGGGCACCAGCGAGCAGTGTATGTTACGTGATGTGTCGGGGGCGGGTTGAGCTTGAAAATGCCGCTGACGCGCCAGTTCCCGACTCCGCCGGCTCTCTGTTTCTGATTGCCGCTTCAATGTTTTCTTCGTTCTTCCACTACTCTTGCTTTTCGATTTTTGTCTCTCGCGTTCTTGTCTTCCCTGATTTAAACAAATCTTCGGGCATCCTGATGAACGCAGACAATTAAGATTTCAAAAAAAGATATAGTTCTGAAACCAATTTCCCACGGATGGACTTTCCCACGCACGATTTGGTAGAGAACGGCACAGACAAAACCCTCCGGAGTCCATCCACTACGGGGTCGGGAATACTGCTCCACCAGTACCTCGCGTAGAATGTATCAGGTATATTTGTAGTAGCCAATAGTTACAGACTGTAAGCGAGGCGACTTGTGTCGCCGATTTCCCAAGGGGTATATCTTAAACTCCGAGTCTCAGGGAATTCAGGGACACCTTTAAACAATCATTTTATCTTCCTCGCCAGCACCTCTCTTAGTGGACAGTGGTTCTTACTGGTACGCCCATCTTGCATCCAAGTCGGTCTTACGTGATGAACAAAATTTACAGCGAAACTTCACTGGACCATGACTTTAGCAATCTCCCACGATTCCACTGTGTGCAACCTGCCCCCCTTTCCTCCTGAACTTTGGATTACAATATTTAGCCTCGCCACTGATATTCCTGGTCTACTGAGCTATGATGACCCAAACCCATCTGATCTTCCGCGTCCCCTCCTTAAAGAACGCGAGCACAAACTGTTGAAAGAGTCTCTTTTCACAAAGAGGAATATTATTCTTGTCTGTAAGACATGGAACGTTCTCGCCACCAATTTTCTCTATCGGAGTGTTCTGGTCACTCGCCCAGCTACCCTGTCTTCTTTGTTTGTCGCCCTCGGTGGCAGATCCTCTGGAGCAGCCCGCTCCCGTCACGTAGGGTGGTGGACGAGACGACTTGATGTCTTGATACAGGATGACCATTGTGAGGCATCTGATTACGCCCTCCTCGCCAACATAATTCGACAGTTCCCAAACCTGTCGATCGTCAATCTATCTATGCCCATGCTTCCTGATAATGATTCCTGGCTTCGGCAGCTACCCGAATCAGTCGTGATGGCACTAGCTGAATTTTGTGGTCCATCATTGCGCGTATTTGATTGTTCTGATTCCATCTTGCGCCCCTGCAGGTATTGACTTAGCCTTATCGCGCACACAGCACTTGCTGATTACTTTTTATAGAGAGGATCTGATGAAATTGATAATTGCAGCACCAAATTTGAGTGTGCTCCACTGCCCAATTTGCTCGCCCAGTGCAAGGGACGGGTCTCCTTCTGCTAGACTCGACGTGCCCGTCATGACCAAGCTGCAGTCCTTGTCACTCATGTCGGTCTTTTTGCGGGATTATCTGCCAGACAATAGAGACGCCAACCACTTCCCCGCTCTCAGAAAACTTACTTACGACTGCATCCCTCCTCCATTCCTTGACCATACTTGGAAACATTTTGTGAGGCTGAGCTGCGCGAATGTTACTACCGTGCACCTCGACTATTCCCTTCAAGCCGACCGTCTTCAAAAAGAGCTGGATCTGCTCAGTGAATGCTGTTTGTCTTTGAACGACCTCGTCATTTACATCCGTTCATGGACGGAGATCAACCCAAATCTCACCCTCCCTCCTTCCATTTCATATCTGGGATTATATTCCAAGCTACGCAAGGCACCCACATTCCATTTTATGCAACTATTTGCCGCTCTTCGTACTATGTCAGGTTCGAAGCTCAAGACTGTCCGATTGCTGCACGCGGACGCTGTGGAAGATTTACGGGAGAGCTCTCGGGATCTGTTGCAGTGTGAACTCGCTGATAGCACTCGTATTACATTCCGCATCGAGGACCACGAGGGTCATCTTCTGATGCCTTGATGCGTAGGTCATGGGTACAGTATAACACGTGTGGTTTGGACATTGGTGTATTCTTAATTGAGAATATCTTCATTCACACCACATATTGATTCACTCACGTTCCTAGTCTTCAGGCATCTATTTAGATACATCATGGATCCATGATCTGTATCCAATACGTGTACACTGCTGCAAACATCGCCCTTCATTACTCCCGGCGTCCGTCAGGAACGCCCTGATAAGATCTGCACCTGATGACTCCTCATCGCCCGACTCATCAACTACATCTGAGGATGTTATTTTCAGTCGCTAACAATAGACAATGTCTAAGCGCCAGTCACATTACATTACCAGTAAAGAGTGCTTATTCAGGAATGAGTACTGAGTGCTGTATCATCGCTTCGTCCGAGCCCTCGTACTAGACACATTTAAATAGCTGATGTAGCGGATGGCGGGTCTATTGCTGAGCATGCCATGCGCTTAGATTTTCGTTTTAATACAAAACCAGTTGCCAAAATGCTTCTCGTGCGGGTCTCGTGATATCTTTCTCTAGAGTACACCAATACGCAAATGACTGTAAGCGTAATAATAACATTCAGCTCACGTATGCAACTCGCTAAAATACAGTCGTGCAGATGGAGTCCGAACTTCTATGAAGTCTCCAAGTGCTCGCACATGGCGCACTAACATGGAAATAACACCGCACTAGGTCACCAGGACTGTCGTAAACATATTCGTGAATGGGAGAGTGATATGATGGAATGCAAATTATGATGTGTTGGGTATCACTGCGTGGATATGACCAATGTTCTAGATGGAGGGGCGTAAAAATATGCGTGCAGATTCGTGGCGAAGACTTTGATGATGCATGAAGGCTAGATCTTGAGCTCGCGAAACCCGCGCACGTCAAGCCGCCCGGTGCCATTCTTCTGCCATTCCTCATCGTCAGCCGCTTTGGAAGCTTTCTTGAATTTCCCGCCAGGAATGACAATCTTTCCTGCGCTCGTATACGCAGTACGTGACTTTGGAAGACCGAGTGCCTTGCGCTGGCGTCGAGTAAGGGGTTTATGAGTTTCAGGAGGCGGCGTATTGCATGCGGGAGGGGTACTAGGAAGCGGAGATGAAGCAGAAGATGATGAACGGCTGGATTCTGCGGAGGAGCCGGGGGTGGAGAGGTCTGGGGTCGAGTCATCCATGTCATCATCTGCCTTGACTTGACTCAAGGGTGTGCGAGAGGGCGAGCGTCGTGAGGTTCGCGTTCGCGTTCGCTTAGAAATCGCGTCAGATGTCGACGATCCAGATGATTCGTCGAAAGAACGCTTTGGTGACCGATGAGTTCTGATACTCGATGTAAAAGACTGATGGGGACCGGTCGGCTGACCGGGGACGGGAAGTAGTGAGTCCACCTCGATGTTCAAGGAACCAGTGGAAGAAAGGGGTGAGGGTGAGCGGGATATGGGGAGTGGGACATGTGCAGGTGTTGGTGGTGTATTTTCACGATTCGATTTAACATTGTCGATTGGACTATTCTTGGGAAAACTCTTGAGATCAGATTTGGCTTTGCTCCGGGAGACGGCTTTCTTCTTGGCGGGCGAAGCAGCAGGCGGTACTGCGTCGGCGGGTAGTTCACAAACCTCGGGAAGACCAGCGTGCGGCCCTCTCAAGTTTCGTATCGAAGAAAAATGTTCCCAGTCATGATATCTAGAAAGGCAGGTTAGCGCGTAGCCAATAGGTATACTAGGGGAAATGATGACTGACGCCACGTATATTGTCCCCTCTGACTCCTGCGAATCGTTCATCTCGTCGCGCTGCTGCTGCCTCTTTTTCCTCCGCGCATCTCGCTCGTTATCTTGAGATGATGACTGGTCCTCGCTCTCGGCACCCGCCTTCCACTCAATGACGTATACCAATCCAGGCTGGATAACCTTGACATTCCTTCGCGCAAAGTGCGCGAATGCAGAAAGTTCAAGGTGCCCGCCATAAGTGCCTATAGCGCGTCACAACGCTGCACAGGAAGAAATCGGGAGGGCAAGCCCTGGCACACCTTGTTCTCGCATGCACCGCAAATGGGCGCTTAGTCCACGTTCATCCTCACAAAAGGGTTGATAGCGTTGCGCATGGCCCTCGATCCAGTCACATATATCTTGGCGCAGCTGGAGGTGCTGCGACGGCGAGCCATAGAATTGATCGCAGAGAGCCCGAAATAGGCAATTGCCATCGCCCACTGTTTGTGCAGCGTAGAGACCCTGCGAGCGAAGTTGCTCTGTAAGAAGCTGAGTATTCTGTTCTGGATCTGTTATAGGCTGTGTAGGATACAAGAATCAAATGACGAGACAAAACGTGAGTGGGATGCATGGATGACATGCGTGACACTCACTCGACCCTTGGATCTTGTTGTGCGGGACCTCACTAGGGTTAGCAATATTAACAAATCATCATCATTTGTTGTTATCAAGATCGACGTACATGGCAATGGTGCTTTAGCACGTCTCTGGGATTTCTTCGATGGGCCCATTCTACTTGTAAAAAAATTCAACGAGTTCTGTATGTGGGATCGTGTTGGTTGTGAATAAAGCACAGCTGCCGCGTTTCGGGGTCCCGAGACCCGGAAACCAGGGGCTGTGCCGGCACACGGGCTTGCAGTTGCAGCAGGCCCGGGAATCTTGCAATGTCTTATCTAGACAGAACAAATTGTAGAGTGACACGCACGAGCACATTTATCAACTGGGTCCTAGGTATTACCCACGTCTAACGTTTAGTGTACTTTAGCCTGCCCCTGGGCCTGAGGAGGCCTGAGTCCCTAATGAAAAAGGAAATAGCCGTTTCTATCATAGGGTCTACGAAAGACTCGGTTGGAGTTGTGAGGCAATAAATAATGCTTTTAATGTGACCGTGTAAGAAGTCAGGACGATCTCGGGCTGCAGTCAAAGTTCGGATCCTGTGTTGGATACTTGATCATAAGACTCAGGCCTTAACATGCAGCATCTGAGCACAGTGCCCATCATCCCAGTGACGCTCGACTCCCCACTCGGCTATCACCGCCCGGTGTTGGGAATGTCTTCTCGCCGCCACCTCGATCTGACACGAACTCCCGATATCTAGTTTGCCCATGATGAATGAATGTTGACACTTGGTGGAAAAGAAGACGCTTACATTCTCCCCAGCCTTACCTGTTCCTCGCGTGAAACAGACGGCCTTGTCGTCTTAAGTACTTTCAATAGATGCTCTTGAGAAATTTCGTGCTGCAGAAAACAGCATTCATTAGAGGGATCTATATGAGAAGAGAAAAAACACAAACCTTCTTGGGCGTTACAACAGCCCTGCTGTCCTCCTCCATCCCCCCAGATTTCGATGCCTTAATTTGTTGCAGCTAGAAACATATCAATCATCTGTGCCAGCACGAGCGCAGTTTCTTACTCGTCGTTGCATTTTTGTTTCGTCTGCCTTAGACGCAGCTTTTGCTGCATCCTTCCCAGCGCCCAGCACCACATACTTCACCGGGACCTCATCAGCCAGACCCGCGCCAGCTCTCCTCCGGCCCGCCTCGACATCACCTCCACTATCACCATCCGCCTTCCCAGCATCTATAGCAGCATGCACTACTTCCAGATGCGCGTTGTACACGAGAGCCTGTAAATCCGCACCCGAGAAGCCCTCAGTGACACTTGCAAGTCGATCAAAGTCCACAGAAGGTGCGAGCGTTAGCTTCCGGGATGCTGCAACCAAAATCTGAACAGGTGCACAAGACAATGTCAAGATTGTAGTATATGAAACACGGTGGGGCACTGACCTCTTTTCTATCCTCGATACCAGGCAAGTCGCATAGCAACGATTTATCAAGCCGACCAGGACGAAGTAGTGCGGAGTCGATAAGGTCTGGTCGACTTGCAAAAGATCAACAATCGGACAATGTGATCAATGGAAATAGCCCACCTCGTTGCAGCGAGAACATAGACTCCATCGAGCCCCTCGGCACCATCCATCTGGGTTAGCATCTGATTCACCACACGGTCCGTCACGCCTGTGCTGTCGTGTCCTCTGCAGACAACATTTATGGATATAACAGAGAGTACATAAACATAAACTTGCCTCTTTGGTGCAATCGAGTCAAACTCGTCGAAAAAAAGTACGCAGGGTTTTGCAGCCGATGCACGATCGAAAATATCTCTCACCTAAACAGAGTGAGTGTTTCCTTGAGAAAAATCATATATACGCACTGATTTTTCACTCTGTCCGATATATTTATTCAACAGCTCTGGACCCTTGATGCTGATGAAGTTCAGCCCACACTCTTTCGCGACGGCTGACGCAAGTAGCGTTTTTCCACAGCCAGGATAGCCGTACAATAGTAGCCTGCATTCCCTCCATAAATCGCATACACAACAGAGTATTATAAACACACCCAGATCTCAACCTCAGCGGAGACTGCTTGAACAATTGAGCATACTTCGTCGGCCATTCTAAGGTTTCCCTCAACGCGAGCTTGGTGTCCTTTAAGCCTGCATCGCCACAATTAATGGACCAACAATAAGATATTCTCAAGGGGAAGCACGCACCGCCAATGTCAGCCCACTCAACGTCCGACTTTTGTAAGGGCACATCCCTCAGCGAGAGAGGCACAAATCCCTCTTGGGCCTCTACAAAATCTTTCGCAGAAAGTGTGACCTTCCCGAACCATCGTCAAATAGTGAAACATGCGCATCAGATAATGCTCACCTTCTCAACGCCCACGCCCACTTCTGACACTGCCCGTCCAACGGCGACCTGTATCGTCCGTGTGACAAGGTCGCGCAGGTCTACAGGAGAATAGCCTTCCGTCCCTACTGCGAGTCGAGTGTACTCAGGTGGGTCGGATTCATCGACAACAAATGACAATGGCTCCTTGGCCATGGCAAGCCGGCGTGACACAAGACTGGCGAGAATCTGTTCGAGTCGTTTCTACCCAAAAGGCACCAATAATGAAGGAGGAACCCACCTCCTTCCGTGCCTCCCTTCCCGGCGGAGGAATGGAAGCGACATCCTTGAAGACATGCAGCGTATGTAGTAGCGAGTGCACGCTAGTCTGGCTTTCTGCTGTGGCGAGGAGTACGATACCACGGAAATTCGATGGTGCAAGGCGTGCATTGGAACTATATTGCATGAGGAAGAGCTCCGTTATATGTCGCTGGCGGAAAGAATCCGCCTGCTCGACCTCTGCAGCACAGACTTTGTCGAGGTTGTCGAAGATAAGGACGGAGGGGCTGTGCCATCGTGCTAGCACAAAGAGGTGGCGAAAGAGTGCACCGAGGGTCTGAGCGGGCTTGGATGCGAGCGGGGAGAAGTCAATATAATGTATGGCTGATTGATATTGAAGATTTCGAGTAGCAACAAAAATGGTTAGACCAGAAAAGCATTAGAGCACAAGATATCCCACTCACAAGCATACACGCGCTCATCTGCTTCCAGTCTGCGCGCGATCTCCTTCGCAACTGATGTCTTGCCCATTCCCTGACGGCCTGTTATTAAGATGCCAGGGACTGCGATACATGTGGACACGCGAGGTTCGAAAATCCATCAGAATGCGTTGCAAACAAAATCCTTTACACATACCTCCCTGAACGACATCTTTGCGCGCATGTACGGCGTAGGTCGCGACACAAGTCTTTGTCATGTCTTCGAGAATATTAGAGACACCTGATAGATGAAGCGATGGTGTCACTAGCTCTGGTGAGATCGCTGCCGAAGTTGGAGGGGAAGATGATGCGGACGCAGGACTAACAGAATGATCAGCTGAGGTCGCACCCAAGGGGATGTACCAACGTACTCATCGAGGTTTCCATTGATTGTGGGCCCTTGCTCACGGGCACCTGTGAGCGATATCCTACAAAGTCATTATATTAGCGATGGTGGTGGAACTACATACAAGAAAAGAAAGTAACGCACCGAACGAGATCCCAGTCCCCGACCCCACCCTTCACTTCACCGACAAACATCACATGGGTCTCCAAAACGGAATCAGAGATTCCCAGCCACACTTCCCACCCGTCCTTTCCGTTCCTTTCATCATCCTTTGCTCCCAACTCTTTGTTCGACCCTGGGTGCATTATCTTTGCTTCGCCATCCTCCTGCTCAGCTTCAGCACTTGGTTTGATGCCGGCATTTTTTTTAGTATCGGAGTTTATGATATTCGTCGGATCCTTGGGCGGCTCCAGCCAACGTGCACGCGCACACCACCATCCCGAACGTGGAGGGTTAGGATTTGGGTCGAACGGGATGTACTGAGTCCCTGTAAGCAGCGATAGGGTGTAAGGATGAATGTATGCGCGCGTTTTGGCGTCGGGTAAATTGGTCGTTTCGGGAACGTTGACAAGGCGCGCAGGGAGCACCCGGAGGATTTCGGATGGATATGAGGGTTTGTCCTGCGTCGACACAACGGTTCCGTGCTCTAAGCTGGTTGGTGATGATGATTTGGTTTCTGCTTTGGATTTCCTGTGCGACTTGGGAGCAATGGTGACCTCGGTATCTGTCGTGAGCAGCGCTGCGGTCACAGACGTGTCGAGCGAGACTTGCGATTAAGGGAAGATCAGTAGGGGGTACCAATGTGAACAAGATAGTATGATGGCACACACCGATTCTTAATCGTACTCTCGTCCGCCCGAGCACCCAAACATTGATCTCTTGTCCGACATTCGCGACTCGCACTTGGGAGAGGAGAGTACCTTCAACGTGTGCTGCATGCAGTTCCTGGCATAGGTGGAGTCAAGACAGCTAGTCAGCCGGGATGTCAGGACCTACCACTACGTCCCAGTCATCTGCACTGAGGGGCTCAGTGCTCACCGTCTTTGCGTATGGGAGGTCATATAATAATCCTAATTCCACCTGCCGATTCAAGCTACACCATCAGCCGGAGGAAGGAACAGCTATACGCGGGAATAAAAAGCGCACCACGTCTCCTTCTTTGAAGCCCAAACCTGCTGCATACTGAGGATCTATCTCTAGGGTTTCTATTCCACGTTCGGCTGCGGTAGAGTTGAATGAGGCAAGGGATGATGCAGAAGCCATGCCGGTCCAGCCAACATATGCCTCTCTTCCCTCGCCATCGGTGGGCTTCAAGTGGACAGCAAGGGTTTGCGGACGCTGCAGTAGCGATCAGGATAGTTCCAACCGAAGTCAGAGTTAAAGTATGAGACGAAGAAACAATGTGAACATACAATCTGTCTCTCGAGAAGGGGACCGTAAACTGATATTGGGAGGTTGACCAGGGATGATTTCAGTGATACAAAATGCACCTTTGCGCGTCGAGGCATTTTTTTAGACGATCAATTGACTCTTGAGTAGTGCATATACAGACACGAGACGTGCGTGCTACTAGACTAAGTACTAACTTAGTAGTAGGTGCAATAAGCTTAGACTCAAAGCGGGACCAGTTTGGACATTTCTGGACGGATCAGCTGACGTCGGCAAGTTGGACCGACTCGTATTATGTGCAGAACTTGATTTGATAACTGAGTTCCTCAAGCTGGCTCGGAGGAACCGGGCACTCAAATGAAGCTTCAGGGTGTGGCCACTGCGACTGTGTTTCATCAACCTCAGGTTCTGAAACTCGGATCGTCTCGCAGCCTCGGAAGGACTCTGGAACACACATAGTTTCAAGTTCAATATCGTGTGGATCTCTACTGATCCCTATAGGTGTGTGCCTATCAGCAAAGTACCCCCTCGGCCTTATCATGTCAGGTACTTTTAGAACGTTGCATGCCTGAAACTCACAACTTCATTCTTGGAGAACTGCACTTTAAAAAGTCCACGTGCTATCAACAAGCACTGAAAGAAAGGACTCTGAAACTAAATGATGCCACTAGATTATCTTGAACCATCGCTGAGCCAAACCTTTAGTTGCAACACAAGTTTCTTTGCGGTAACCTCTAGCTTCTCATCTCTCGTCCGTGCTACATCCACAATTGTCCGTTTCCTACCTGAAGCTGTTAGAACGAGGCCAACCCGCCTTGGCGAGAATGAAATAGACAGCGCGCTGAATGGTACTGGCGCAAGGTCTGATGTCCACTTGCTCGTGCTCGCAGATCCAATTCCACTATTATTCACCCTGAACATGCTGGACGATGAAGGCGAGGCGTTCACTCCATGTGGGTTTGTGTGGACAACTCCCTCGCGGACACCGTAGTGTCGAACGAGGTCTTCTAGCCGGCTGCGCGGTTGCATAAGGTCGAAAAGGTCTTTGAACGAATCCTCTCGCTCGAGGTGAAGCGATGAGTCATCGACCATAACATCTTCGTGGACCTTGAGTGCAATGAAGAGGTCGAGAACTTTGGTCTCTCGTTGCAGAGTATCACAAGAGGAAGTAGAAGCCGAGGAAGAAAATGGGAATGGATCTGATGAGTAGGGAGGGCGTATCATCGAGTTGTATGCGGGTAAATATGTGGAGCGCAGCACATGCTCACACGCTTCGCTGGCAAGGTGAGTTCCGGCCGTCATGGTCAAAGGACTTGAACAGCACGCACCAATGTAAAATGAGCGATTAACCGACCGGAGTTGTGTGGAGAGCCAACAAAGTGTCTTTCTCTGCCGTTCGATCTTTCCCTCGTCAACCCCAGGCGTTTGCGGAAATGTCATATACACGATCTTCAATAATAGGTGGGGAGGTAGGTCAGATGGCTTCGCTGCTCCACGATGTTCACCAGGGAATGGGGGTGGGGGTAGAGTGCTGGCATTAGGGAAATAAGGAGGGGGTGGAACAGATTGCATGCACTTCTCCTCGACAATGACCATAATGATGTCTGCGGATGCGCCTCTAGTTTTATACACAAATGGAGTTATTCTGGTCCCCGGAAGCAGTGCAGTCTGCTGTGAGAGTTGTGCGGTGATTTAAAGTGTAGCCTAGGCAGAAGAACGTTGATGAAATTTGGGCTGATTTGGCTGAAGAGGCTATGGATAGTCAAAGAACAGCATGGGCCTATCATACCGTGACCTTCCTTGTGCCTAAAGGCCTAACCTCCGAGTACCGCCTTGTACCGCCACGGCGCATTGCTTAGCAGTGCGCAGCATCACGTGACTAATGTAAACCCACGTCTCTCTGTCCCAAATTCAACTTGAACATGTTATAATTTATTAAGCCTGTACTCCATCTTACCAATAAAATCATCGCAAGTCTCTTCCAATTTCAACAAACGGTCTCATCTTGAGGAACAAATTCGCATTCTTCAATCGGAACTATTCTAATTTCTAACGTGACAGCATCTGCAAACCTTTTACTATCCAAATCCATCGACGGTGAAAGACGAAAGACATAAATCGGATGGAACGGAATGGTCGTTGTGTCCTTTCTTACCTCACTTAACTCTGTCACAGGCGAACATGGAAGTGAAGATTCTGGAGATAGATCCACGATATGTGGCGGGCACCAGACTTTCAATAACTTCAAAGGAGACGTGGTGAGCATTTTGTCCGCCCGTACCGCAACGCAAAGATACTTCACCTGTGATTAAAAAGTGAGGCGGGAGCAAAAGATGATGAAGGGGATCGAAAACGAGGGTGGGAAGTGTGATGCGAAAGGAGGCCCCAGGTAAGTTTCATTCTAGGATTGCCGGCGCCTTTTTAGTTGAAGCAGCTCAAATAGATTATCGCCAGTCTCGTCTTGTGCAATCTCTCCATGGCACCAAAGTATTCGTGATAAAGATGGAGGGCTACTCCCTGATAATACAGCTTGACATAATATTGGTATGCTCGTACTTAGATCAATGTTAACTTTTCAGCCGAATACTATACAAAATCTGAAGGAAATATGATGCAGTGATGAAAGTCATGTAGTTTGGAAGACCTGCAAGATAATCGATGCGAAAAAAAGTTCATGCTGAGTACTACTATGGGGTGGCTGCGCGTGCGTCAATGAGCATTTGCATACAGAAGAACTGTAACTTACCGATCAAGCTCTCTCTTGGAAGTCCTCGCTCGTCAAATATCGAGCATTCAATAGCTTCCCGATGTGCGTAGGCAAATACCCCATTCCCTTGCGGCGGATACCAAAAAGTGCTTTCAACATGGGGACAGGCGATTGTTGGAAGGTGCTGAGGGAATCCTCAGCACGAGGCCGATGCTCCGGTTTGATAAATCCATCACTTTGAATCTCAGTGACACCCTGATATTTGAGATCTGCAGTGTAAAGCCCCAAGAGGCGACACAATTTCAGGTACGCGCGCTGTTGAGGAAAGTACAGTTGTCCAGCAAAGACGTTGAGCTGACGGATGAGGGTGTCGTCTGGAATCCATCGCGCAGAAATTGATGGGATGATGTAAAGACGCAAGTCGTCGCATGATTTCATCATCTTGGTGACGCGAGGTGTATAGATGTGCAAATGAACTCGCTTACTTGCTCGAATGTCAGGTAATAGAACGTTAGCCTCGAAGGGGCTGACAATGACTAGCACCTGCCCGCGGGATGCTGTACTTGAAAGAATCCAGTTGACTGAGCGTGTGTAGTTGTCCGTTTTTTCTTCCGTCAGAACGGTTGTGGTAAAATCCCTCGAGGCAAACACGTCCCGTGACCACGGCTGGCGCCCTGAGGAAGCAGCAGAAGTTGTAGCGAGGGTGTCGAAAACAGCAGTGAACACATGAGATCCATCCGGAATGGTGCCTGTTCGGATGAAGGACCTGACGTCCTCGTCAATGCTATGGGTAGCAGCCGACACTGGTGGTGGTCTCTCCACCTCGCTCTCGCGCTCAACCTCATGTAGCACTTCTCTCTCTTGCTCTTCGTCTAGGCGGTTGTCAGGCGAAATGCCTAGCAACCCGAGGATCCTGCATCTCTCCAGAAGATCTTCGTCTAGCGACGCCTGTGAAGTAGATGCGTCCGTAAGAGCTGGAGCGTATAGCTCTTCCAATTGCTTGGCCTCTGGCTGTAGCCACGAACGGGTGAGTTCGGCGGGTTCAATATCGCCGGATAAGAACGATGACCATGCACTGTGGCGAGATTGGAAATCTACTCCATGCTGAAGCCATTGTGAAGCGCGATGTTCGATGTCTGAGCACGTTTCAGTCATCGCCCACACGAGGATATCCGACACATGAATATCTCCATTGCTCTTGTTATTCACGGCTCGTATGCTGCGATCTATGTCTGGAGGTGCGAAGAACATGACTGAGTGACCGTGGCCAAGCTTTCTCATACGCATGCAACCTGGTAATATGTTATTGAACGCCATGATGAACAAATACATTGGGCCCTCACCTTGGACAAGGCGATCCTTGGTGACCTTTGGCCCTAATGTAACAGCTGCGCGAAATCCCCTAGGCAACTTCACGTCTGTTCCTCTGGTGTGTTCATCGTCCAGATACAATACACACTGATCCACTTGCTGAGCAAAGGAAGATGCGGAGAATGGTTCTACAACATGATCTCGAGTGCGCACCACAAGCTCATCGTGCCTGTTGAAATAGATTGCCGCTTGGGCATCTTGATTGATCTCCAGCCACATCTTCGCCACTTCGTCATTCTGCAGGTCAAGTACTTGCGCACCCACGTCGAGCAAGACACGTATTTCAGGCGACTTATTCGTGATGACATTAAGAAGCTCTCTAGCGCTTCCACCAGAAGCAAGCGGATCATAATGATCATTCTCTTGCTGCAAAAGGTGACTCAGGACTCTGGCGTTCGTACCGCGCTGGTGGTCTAGTGAATGCTGCGCTATGGTGGTGGGTAGCAAGTAGCGAAAGTCGTTTGTTCCACTGAAGCCTGTGGTAGGCAACCCGTAGAACTTTCGCTCTGCGAGATCCCAGGCAGAGCAAGATAACTTGTGTGGAAACTCCTTGGCTTCCTTTGAAAAGACGAACTGAGCCAAAAAGAAGTCTATGACGGCCTTGTTCCGCCCGAAGAGAGGTACCAAACAACTGGTGAACTGTTCAGCAGACTCCGCATTGATTCCACTGAGGGTTTTCAGGTTGTCTGGAAGCGAATCTGAAGACAACCCCTTTATCCACGTCTCATATTCCAATGCGGGATTGTCTTGCTTGAGTAGCTGGCGGAAGCAGAGGGCGACCTGTTTCTCAGTGAGGCCTTCGTAGTAGTATGAAAGACATGTGAGTGCGACTGCAATATCTGGATGTCCAAATTCTGCCCGAGATGAGGGAACATCCTTAGCACGGTAAGGCACGGCAAGCATTGTGCGTTGAGGATCCAGGCCGTAATCTACGCGCCATCGCCGGTCCTTCAGCGTGTATATCAGTATACCGTGTGCGAGAAGTCCTCGAATGAGCAGTAGTCCATTCCACAGACTGGACCCAGCGCAATAGTTCCGGACATTGTGAAGAAGCTGTGGGCCAATGGTCGAGAGGGTAAGATACTCACGGATGGAGTCTTTCATATGACGTGGCACATGTCCGAATGCGAAATTTGGAAGGTTACTGTCAAGAATGTCGTCACAAACCAGCATGATCAATTTTTCGGCTGCGCGAGCGTCCAGGACTTTGAGTGGGAAGGTTCCAGTAACGCCTGGCTGGAATTCTACTCCAAGAGGAAATTCTTGGTGAAGGGGGCGAGCATGTTTTGCCACAAGGGTCATCACCTGTTGTGTTGTGGTCCATCGATCAGGATAACCTTCCAGGTGTTGTTGGTCTCCCATAGTGTAGACGAGTTGGAAGCGGACATGCAGCAGTTCATCACTCTCGTCCAGTATGTCACGAGTGTGCTTATCAAGCCACCGCTGAGTATTCAGCAGGGGCACGGCCAGCTCTGCTGAGGATTGCTCAACCGCATTTGTGGGCGCCGGAAGCTGTTGCTCCACAGTCATCAACTTGAAAGAGAGGATATGGTCTGGTTGGGTGACAAGGATACCGCCAATGGCTTTGCACTCTTCAAATAGTGACTGGATGGTGCTTGCATGATTAGAAGTAATGTGCAACGAACGCGAGAATGGCAGGTAGAAAATTCGCCTGTTGGTAAGGCCGCCGATCCGTTCCACGAGCAACTGGAACATCTGAACAACCAAAGGCTTTAGCACAACGACCCGTACCAGATTGCTGCGATCTGCCAGTGCAGCACAACAAATAGGTACGATTACGGAGGATTTTCCTTCCCCCATATGAAGCTGCAGCGCGGTATTGTTGCCTGAGCTTGGGGAAATCATCTCCATCGCAACGCTAGCTTGAATGGGACGGATAAGAAATCGATTCTCTGCCTAGTACCGTTAGTGATCAATCATATCAATTATTGTCAACCATCGAATACCTGAATTAGAAGCCAGTCCAGATATGTCTGTGTATCATCCACTCCTAGGTGGCCGTCGTTCATCAGCTCCTTCAGAAATTCTCCATTGTCCCCACCAGCTGCCAGCTTTAATTTCAGAAGTCGTTGTGATCTTTGTAGTCGAAGAAGAATATGGACGAAACTGGTCAAAGGGGCTTTCCATGAGTCACAGAGAGGTGTTTTTGACGTAGAGGCGAGGAGACCGAGAAGAAATGTGATGGTAATGCGCGGCCATTGCCCAGAGTTGAATAAACTCTCCTCCGCCAAACCCACGGGAGCTAGATGCTCTTCCAATCTGCGAAAAGCATTATTATAGAGCCTATTGCACCACACATGATGATGTTGCAACACGTTGACTGTCCAGCGGGTTTGGTCCGGTACAACGAGTGATTGTTCGTTCTCTAAATCGATTCTGCTGTCTTCTAGATCTTCGGCATAGCGGATACCAAACTGGTCCAATCGACGTCGTGAAAACCTGGAGATGACATCCTCTAATGGAGATGAATCGAGCCCACTGCCAGAGGATCTGTTGCTTAGTAAAGCGTCACTCTGTTTGAGAGGGTCAGGTAGTAATTTGATGACTGGCGCAGGTTTTCTGAATAAGTCTTCAGTGAGAATGGCGGTGGTGACTGATATAACATCTGAATTGCTCGGGGTGAATGTGTACGATTGCTTGACGGAGGGCATGGAAGTCCGCCCTACTTCAACAAGCACAGTCTGCACACGATCCAGATATACCTTCAGACACCGGTTGCGATAGCAGTTCGAGTATTCCTTTGCAAGGACGGCGCTAAGGGCGGGCTTGTTGTATCGGGAGTGGCTTAGACACTGCAGAGCATTTGCAGGAACGGAATCGCAAGGCCAACGATCAAGAAGGATACTGACCGCCGCCTTCTGTTCACGTAGACACTCAGATTGGAAGTGTCTTTGTTGCCGAATATTAAAGTCGTGGGATGACTCGCCATTGTAACTAGACCACGACGCCTCGGGACTGTTGGTGAAGGTGGTATGGGAAGAGATATGGTAGCAGAGATCCTGTTCAAGGGGTTTGATCCCAAAAGAAAGGTCGTATATGTTATATATGGGGGAGTCGATTGCACGGAACTCAGGAATAACCGCAAACGCGAGCATGGTTGTGGCAAATTTCATATTGTCCGGAGAGGAATAAGCCATGGCTGGTAACGTGAAAGCGAGTTGGAATGTGTGATTCTCCCGGTCTGCGACACAGCAAAGTTGGTAGACGGTCATCCATATCTTAGCCAAGTCAGGCTTCAACCACTCTCCGTCGTATCGAAGGGATAGTAAATTGTCTGTTCTCCCAGAAATTTCTCTCCATTGAACGAAGACGTCATAGAGCGCTTGGCAAGGCTCAAGCGTGATCCTCCAGTTGCACACCATGCGTGCACAATCAAACGCATTTTGATCATTGATTGAACACCGGTAAACATCCCTGGAAGTATATTCACTGCTCGACGATTTTCTGGGATAGAAAGAACTGACTGGATCATGGGAGTAAAGGAAAGTGGACCGCTGAGAAGCGCGTTCCAGGAGGAATTCATTGCGTGCTGGAAATTTTGGACAAACTGAAACCGGTGTTTCGCTGAGCACCTTCAGCTTCCGTGCATATTGGACTATGTTCCTGGCAGCATGGTAGAATGCGCAACTTTGGACGTAAGATGATAAGCCACTTTGCCAGTGGACGTCCTGTGACCTCCTGCCGACAATGGACCATGTCCGATCAACGGTCAAGGAACCTATCCAAGCTAGAAGCTTGCATTCGAATGGGTCCAGCTTCATGAAGGAAAAACATGCAGCAGATTGCAGCAAATACATGGCTTCCTCCAAACCAGTGCGTCGAGTCAACGGATCTGGAACATGGGCACTGCACACGGCGTGCAAGTACACCTTGTAAAGTTTATTCGTGAGACCAACATTTCCCGTCAGGCGGCAGAGTTCCGTGTCAATGGTGTAACAGTGGTAGGGAAGGTGAGCATGATCAGGATCAATATGGATGGTGACCTGGATATGGTGACCGCTGGGCTCCACTACTACATCCCCTTGGGGAATGATGACACGGCGATCGCTGTAAGTTTGTCGATCTTTTGGGCGTAAAACGAGCTGGTTCACGAGTCCAAGCATTGTACCAGTGGATTGATTTTTATCGACAACCATGCCTCTCTGGTTCCGTGAATGCAATTCTCCGTCTTTGTCTATAAAGAAAGAGAGTCCAAACCGAGGGAGATCGACCTTGACTACATCCATGCTGCAAGTGACGATTAGGTATTGGGAGTTTTCAAGTGGGCTCAGCGTGTTTGCTATCATGCTGAAAGTGTGACTCCGAATGTCAAACAGAGTTGTTTGGCCCTGCCGAGCGACTGACTGCCCATCATCCTCTGTGAATTGCAACACCCAGTTGTCGTCAGAAGGCTCCCACAGTCTCTCCATTGGACGAAATTCGATTGCGCGAGTGCGTAGGTTGAGCCAATGCACGTGATCTTTGACCAGTAGCATGGGAATGTCCAACTTGAGATTCCCCGGAGGTACCAGCTCAAGGAGGTCTTCATCCTCACGTTGCGACTGAATGACAATGTCCCCGTTGCGCATCCCAAAAAATATCTGCAAAAGGACGACTAAGCTTGGCTCTTGTCCTTCAAGTTGGACAATACCAACTCACTTTGAAGCGATGCACAACGGCCTTAGCAATAAATTCCACGCCAGGGATCTTTGTGGGGAAAACATCAAACACTTGCTACTCGGTAATATGAGACGTCTGGCCAACTAGCAAGGCGGAAAACTCACACGACCGAAGAGGGCGATGTAGCTAGGATGCCGCAAAAAGCAATCTGGTAGCCTGGCTAATGGCTTGCCGTCAACCAATAAGCTTGCTGTCAACATATCAAGATGGATGATTTGGCGGGATGGATCGTCAAGAGGCGCTGTTTCACATCTAAGCCACCGAGAGTTTGGGGATTCAAGTACTTCCCAGCGCGTGTGGCGCTGGTATGCAGGCCAAATACGCTCCATTGCGCAATCAAGACCTTCTTGATCGTCTTCCACATAGTGTTGGAAATGGGCCTCTAAGAAGTGTGACAGCCGACGGTTGCGTTCAAGAAGTAACCTCGAAATTATCGGGAGAGAGTGAAGATCCAAAGGCACGTTATCCCTCACTGTAACAGAGCAGTACACCAGGATCTCCAAGTCCTGTGGTGATTCGAGGAGTGCTGCGATGTTGTCCGGACCAACATCATAGGTGCTGAGACAAATTGCTGCCATGTCACAAACACGGGCTCGATGTTTGCGGGTAGACGTTTTGTCTTGATCATCAGATTCGGATAGCTCTTGCACCCATTTGAAAGTTGTATTTCGGACAGCTCGCAGTAACCTGTGTAATTCATCGATGACCCTGAAATCCTCTGCTGATGAAAGAAGGCGAGATGCCAGCACGGAGATTGTCGACATTGTTGTGCCCTCCAGCCAATTCGCTTCCACGCTTACTTTCAAGCTTTGGAGCTCATCAATAAGGGCGTGTCCGAATTCTGAGGTTTTCAGTTCGTTGTGCAATGCCCTAGACCCGTCGGCTGAAAGCTTTCCTATCTGCCAACTAGCCTGGAGCAGTAGCAAATGGACCGCAGGATCGCGAAATGTGAGGGTGCGTGCTCGCAATTCACGAAGAATGCTGATCCATTGCAAAAGGCTGCCACTACGAAGGCCCCCAAAAGCGATGAATTCATGAAGCGTCAATTCAGCATGACATGAAGCCTGGTTGGCCAAGACCTCATTGGAGGTGTGCTGGGTACCCAACAGGTAATATTGCAGTCCATGATACGGACCGTTTGGCAGCACGTGGGTGCAAACGTTGGATATGTCAGTCTGTCGAAAAGCATTGGAGGCCCAAACACCACTAGTCGTATCGTAAAGAATGAAACGCAGCTGGTTAATATTGTTGACGAAGATGTCGCTTTCAGTACATGGAAGGGATTTGCGAGAGGTCTGGAGGGGCTCGTTCATGGAGGCCAGTGTAATACGTTGACCGGGATGCTCTGTGTAATAACCCGAGAGCGGCGCATAATGTGCAAGCAGGACGTGTTGGATCGCACTTTCAGTCTGTTGTGAAGTTGGGGTGCATATGTGGTAGAGAAAGTGGAAGGTGAAAGATCGCCACATCTTGAAAGCGACCGGGGAAGCAAGCTCGAATACCACTACCGCTGCATCGTAGACAGACTCAGGAAGCGGCCATTCATGGACTTCAACAGCAAGGCTATCCCTCTCACTTTGCTTCTTGCACCGACGGCAATCACGGTCATGTTGGACCCAACCTCGCCAGTGCGTGTAGTAGTCGCACGATAGGGCGTTGATTTCATCTGTGAGACACTGGAATCTGTCGCTTTTGCTATGAAGGTCTGCGATTCGTTTTTTACGCTCTGCATCTGCATCATCTGTAATGCGCTGCTTGTATGACTGCAGCTCCTTGGATTGCTGATAGTAACGAACTGCGAACGTGTGCATTTCTGCCCCATCCGAGAAGACCGAGAGCGCATTGGGGGTGCGACGCCTGACAACATAGCATTGAAGAACTCTGAGTCGCTCTATGGCGGCAGCTTTTTGAAGGAGAAGGCGATTGAATGTGGCAACTGGGACCTCCGGAGAGTACTCCAGGAGAAGAGGGATTGACTTGACAACCAGTTTATCAAGTGCGACCCAGAGTTCGAACAGTGTGAGCAGCATGGTGGATATATTTTCAGGATTTCCGGAATAGGACGGTTGCGCTCTGGTGGAATAACCTTTAGCGCGCGCTTGAATGGCCATGCAAGCGGCGTCGATGTCAGCAGCATCCAGGCTCATGACATGATTCACCCAGCCATCAATGTCCTGCTCAATGACATGTTCGAAATCCGAAAGTGCTACAAAGGGGTCGTCGGCATAAGCGCTCTCGAAGAAATTGGCGTCAGGACCAAGGAAGTCCTTAATAGTGCCTCGTGGGCGATGATGAGGCTGAAATTCTGGCACAGGAGGTTGGACATGGGTAGGATGGAGGATAGAGATGATGTACTCCTTGCTTTCGGTCAAAGAGAGTCTGGTGTCCCTGATTTTATGTATCTCCGAGGCATCCCAATGAGGAGAAGCTGTCTGAACCTCCTGAACATTCTTCCAGCGCAGCTCCAGTCGGTCTTTGATATCTTCTGTAGCTTTGTGCATCGCGATTGCTAAGAATTCGTCTTCGGCCTGGAGCTTGACCAAGCGACGACTGACTTTAATGGACATGGAGTAAAGTAGATCACTCGAGATATCCCCCTCAAGCGCTTTGGACACAAGGTCGGTCATGAGAGAAGCGATGAAAGCCTTGTAACTGTTTCGTCCAAGGCTTGTGCGCTCGAGAGATGTCTGCAATACAACCCTGATGACAAGCCAGAGGGATGACCTTCGCCAAGGGAGCTTGGCGTGAGACTGTAACACATCATCGCCTATACGTTTTCGAATACGAGGGATGTTAGCCGGCTCGCCAAATGCGCAGAGGATATCAGTAAGAAGTCGGGTGATATAGTGAGGATTTGCAGTCTCTCCTTGGAGGACTGCGGGATCTAATCCATCAGAGCTCATGTGCGAAAGAAAGTTCACCAGCTCGGGGGAAAATGTAGGCTTATCCACCACTAAGTTTGATATGGCGATCGCAGGTCCCGGATACGAACACAATAGCTTCCCCTTTGCCTCCATGACAGCAAATGCCGGTGGTGAAACTTCGAAGGATTCAAAGATGGTTTTCGTGTCGAGCCTGCGAAGCACTACAGCAGCATTTTGTTCCCGAATCAGATATGCGAGAACATCTACAAAGAAATTTTGTGATGTGTCAATTTTTGACAGCGCCAACATTATGTGCATACCTCCTGCTCCCATAGATTTTATTTGCGACTCAACAACTTCCCCAATCAGGGAAGAAGATCTCATCGTGGCAGTAAGACTCTCCAGCATCTTCAATAAAGGAGCCCACTGCTCCTGATCATGGTCGGGCAACGAACTTACAAATTTGCGAGCCGACCCTAGCACGACATCAAGGAGGGCGCTATCATTGTCGAGAGTATAATCGCTGTGCTGCGGTAATTTGATGGGACAACATATGTGGGTGATAATATATTCCAAGACATCAGTCTGGGAGGATTCTGAGGCGACAGACATGTGAAGTAGCCTTGACGTTGATTCACGATATATGGTGCAAGTTTGGTAAGAACTCTGAAGTTGGACGGTCTGTGGGTGGGGATTGAGAGCAGGAGGTTATAAGGAGCACAAGGGAACGCAAACGGAATGCCTCATGGCTTGGGATGCCCTCGTGCATGATCTGCGCTAAGCTTATTTGGCCGATGTGGATGAAACATCTAGGCAAATACAGTAAGCCAGGACCAGAAATTTGGTTAAGTAAGATACCTTCTGATGGACGTCCATGATCAACAAATAACAAATCCAAATCTTATACATACAGCGGGCATTATTATCAACCAAGAATCACTCGTGTCAAAAGAACACGAAGTTCTCTCCGAGTGGGTGGAGAGAGAATATTTTGGGTTTTCAAAACAAAGCAGCATCTGGATTGCGTTTGGACTCTTGGAGTAGATCAATTCGTCCTCACTCAGGCTGGGCGGTAAGTCACTTTCGGAATCAGTAGTAGTGTTATGGGCAGACTCGAAAGTCTCAATGGCAATTGCCGTTTTTTTGAAACTTGCCCCGTGGCACGTGCAGAAGAACTCCGTTCATCGCCAGATCACGATTGGGAGATAAGATCCATTTCAAGTCATACTCCATCCTTAGGATTTCATCTATTTCAATGTTCACCGGTGCACTGGTGGACTTGTCTTGACACCGGGAGCATAGACGACACATTGCGCGTCAAGGGTACTCAACGAACCATTTAATTTTCTCTGGGAGTAATCAGTATTAAATTATGAGTATGGCCATAGGCATTGAATATTGAATGTTGAAAGTTGACATATATTAAATTGGCAGATTAGCACTGATGTCGCAGATGTAGCAAGTAGTACACATATGGACCATGGCCATAAGTCAAAGCAGCCATCCGGGATTGACAAAACTTGGACGGGCATAGGAGTCGGCTTGACTAGCTCGGCTCCTACTATCTAAGCACTCAGGTGAAGATGAGGCACGAGTTAAGTACACAATAACTTTGATGAACATTCATAACAGGGTATACAAAAACGAGAAAGCTGGAGCGCAAGAATATATCAGGGTTATTTATACAGCAGGATGAAAGAGGATCGCAGATCATTAACTCGTGAATATGCACCAGACGACAGCAATACGACATATGATACATAGAACTACACACCGATATGAATGAAAACCATTCTCTGCTCGAGCGACACTTTCGTCTTCACCATGTAGCACAGTCGAGTGCCCAGGCCGCCTTCGTACAGTCCATGACACCACCATCCTTCAAATATCTGAACATATACGTGTAGAAAGCTTCGATGACGTGTTTTGGGACAGTATCGTCCACCTCCCACAGCGTGCCAATGACGCTCTTGAATCCTGAAAACTGGAGACCAGCTGCAAGATGGATCACTTCGTCGCGCGTTTTCTCATCGCCAACGGCGGTATGACACGCTGATAAGAATGCGAACTCGGCGCGCGGAATATCTCTCTCTATGATATCGAGTAGCGTCAAATGTTCGTCTCTCATGACGAAATGCGAATTGTAAGGCTGCGCAGGGTCCTGCTTGCCATGACAAGCTAGGTGCATCCAAGTATTTTGCTGCAAAGCTTCGAGTGAACCTGCTCGTGTGGCTGTGTCGCCAGAAATAATGGTGCGGTTGGCAGTCGCCGGGATGAGCTTATGGACAAGCTCGAGCTCGCTGTCGACAGTCAAAAGCGCCTTGCCTGTCCCTGCACCCAGTTGACCTTGTCCGATTACTACGAAGGACGGAGGCACACACTTCTTCATCGACTGTCTAGATCTGACTAGAGAAGAAAGTGTCGGGGTGTAAGAACAGATGTAGAGATCCTCCAGGCATTGCTCCTTCACAGAACGATCTACCTTTGTTTGAAAGGGGTGAGCGGCATGGAGGTGAAAGTTGCAGTAGGACACAGCCAGATTCGAGAACGGCGCTTTAGTTTGAGGACGTGTTCGAGTACGTTGACGATGGGCAGCATGATCTCGTGCCATATTATCCGCGAGAGCACTGTTGAATCCGTCCTCGACTCCATTGGGGTCATCCGAGATGCTTCTCGTATTGCCCTGGCGAAACGGTCCTTAAGATCGGTCAGTTCTCAAAAAGTAACAGACGGCAAGGGAACATGATGGGGGTCTCCTGACGTCGGGACGATGATGGCGCTGTACAAGTATTTGATAGCATTGAGGATGATGGCCGGGCCCTGGTGCGCTGCCGCTTGCAGGTCTTCGTACAAAGGTGGGCACCCTTTGCAGAGAGTGAGTAGCTCACGACATAGTTGGGTAGCTTCGCAGATGTCGGCAATAGTACCTTTCTTATTGTGGCGCAAACTCAGCGCTAGGGCAAGTTTATATAGAGACGAGGGATGATCGGAATGGCGCTGCGGACGCAATGCAAGGGCGTTGCAGAGGTGGGAAGTGGTAGTATCAATGTCATGAAGATCATTTCGTATGCAGCCATCAAGATGGGCAGACGCGAGGTTGGTGAGAGCTGCCGCGTAGTCTGGATGGCCGACCGAACACTGGTCCAGAACCAACCGAAAATGTTCTACAGCATCGTTCAGGTGAGAAACATTCTCGCTTGTTATGTATGCGGCAAATTGTGCGTGGCCCGCATCTGTGTCTCGAGCAATGCCGTAGTCTACAAGGGACTACAGTTAATATATGTGCACGAACAAGGAGCAAGTCGCTCACCGAGTGGCTCATCTCCGTGATGGTGCAGCTCATCCTACGACATTTCAAGTTTCCCAATGACCTCTCCGCTGCCTACCATTCGACGAAGCTCAAAGGACGCCCAGATCTCCATTGACGATGCAGGTAAGGCATGTGATGATCTATAAACCGATGATCAGTTCAGCATCGCGTTGGAAAGTCTCCATGAACTTTACAGAGTAACAGTATTCCCCCGGGCCCACGCCACAGATTCATCAGATGATAAGATACTGATGGCCGATTTTCAGCGTCTCCGGGAGCCGAGATTGATGGACACGTAAATGCCAGCGGGAATGCGCCAGGAGGGAAGTTGAAGATCCTTTCCGTTGAGAACTGTAGGCAGAGTGTGAGCATCATGAAACAAATACGAAGGTAATATAGAGGACTCGCCTTCAAGTCTGATATATTGGCTTTCTGAGCTGCTAGGCATGATGGTGCGACGCAGCAAATGATAAGGATCGAGAATGGGCTGAGTGGTGGGCTGAATGGTGGACGGAGTGAGTGGGAGAGGAAGACGGGGTTAAGGATATGGAGAGTGCGGATGGAGTTCGGCTGAGAGGGAGAGTTCAGGTTATGTTGTATTCTCCATATTGTCGAGGGTTGTTGTTGTTCAGCAAGATAGACGCTGGTATGATTGCAACAAGGGCTGTGAATCGAGATCATCAACCAGGATTAGCACAAAAAACTGCCAATGTGCTAAAGAAGCAGATAGTGTGATGACCAGTTTTCAGCACAAGTGGCTCGCCAAGATTGGAGGGGCTATACGAGTCTCAGAGTGATTGTTGCTCCTGGACTTGTATCGTACTACTCAGTTAGCACACAAAGGCAAAATATAGAAGCGCGCGCTTTTCGTAAGTTAATGGCAAATATAAACCATGTAAAACTGTTGAATTTAGTGCGCAAAGCAAAGCGGACTGATTCTGTACATTGAGCTGACAGTGCCATGGGGGAAGGATGATCTTCCCTGCATTGAGGAATAAGAATCAATCAGTAACTTCAAAAGCGAGGACGCAATAAAACTGTATGCTTGTTTGGTGAAGGATGATTGGCGAAAGAAGTATTGAAGAAGTTGTGATCGCTGCGGGAGAGGATTATCCACTATGGGTGTACCACATGAATAAGCCAGCAGGTCTGTCGTCTAGAGAAGCGTTGAGGATAATGGAAACATTTTTTGGCCGAGGGTATGGTTACAGTATTGGCATCAGTGAGATTTGAGACTGAAAAACGGCAGGGCTTACAGGAACGGACTGTTGCAGTAAAAATTTGTATGTCCCAAAAGTGTGGGCTTCGACGAGGGGGAGGGTTGAGAGGTAGGGACGACGGAACAGGGTGCTAGAGTGATCGTCCAGCGAATTGTAAAAGAAACAGGGTAAAGATACATACAAGGAGGGATTCACCAAATATCGAGCATACCCCCTTGAAGATGAACCTCGCGTGAAAATGAAGTGCTGCGGATAGTGTAGGCGAGGTTGTATGGCAAGGGAGGGAGTCGAGCGTCATGATATTTCAAGTTGAGGGTATATATCGACGTACTTTGAAGTTTGTGGTGTCTCACAAATAAAACTCGACGATGAGAAAAACATAAGGGTTGTATTTCTGCAACGCGTACAAAAAGTTTAAGTGGATTCTGAAAAGACTTAATGATGAAAAGCCACGCAATGATAGCATATTAGCACTTGCAAACGAGGCGCTCGACCCTTGCAGGCCTTTTCCGATTTTGTCAACTTAAGTTCAGGATCATGTGACAGCCGTCGCGTATCAAACCGTGACGGCCCCATCATCCGCATGCCGCGCCATTATTTTTAACCACCACCATTCACTGCGGACTCGCGTATGCAAGTAATTGTCTGAGATGAATATCCGTATTATCAACGGAATATATACGGAGTCTGCTCGCCACAAACATTCGTACTTCTGGGATTCGCAGCAGCTCAGACCATCAGATTTTGACAACTTTCGTCCTGCAATCAACTTGAACACCATAATAACCCTTTTGAAACCTCCCGAAGAAGAGAATTCAGGCGAATGCGAAGGAAATTTTGCCGTACGTGACGAAGCGCTTAAAGTTGATGAAGGCGTACGAGGAGCTGATGTCGGGGTCGAACAACACGTGGGGAACAAGCGGCGACGTTCTGCCTCTGCATCACATGTGAAGAGAAAGAGACGGAGGGTTTCTGAGGGTGGCGATGAATTAGATGCTGACGATCAGTCGGAAATGTCCTTGGAAGGATGCAATGACGACTGGCGAGACCCGGTTCACAAGCAGGTGTACCCTTGCATATGGGAAGAACGTCGTTATGAGGAACCAAAAGTTGATCCCGAAAGCCAGTTTCTGCCGGTCTTCAAATACTCTTTCGAAATGCATTACACGAAATCAGCTCGAGGTGGTGATGAAAACTCTTACGTGCCTGACCAAGAAGCAAAGAAACTTGGGTGGCTTAAGGAGGAACACGATCTCTTATCTCTGTTTAGCGCACTATGCCCTGACCGTTCTCAACCTCAAACATTTGACCTTGGCAGGTTCAGGGTTCAGATATACAAAAGTCGCTTGTTAGCTCTTTCGGGCGAGCCAGACTGTCCCATAAACCGTCATCCTGAGGGAATCAAGGAGAAAAGTGAGCGGTGGTTCTTCCTCCTTCCTCAAGTTGCATGGCCGAATGCACCCGAAGAGGAAGAGGATGCCACGCCACATCATGATGATCTTCTGAAGGCACTCTTCATCTTCCAGTCGTTAGGTCGTGCAAAAATCGACACAACCGTTCAGGTGATCACCCTTCCTGAGGGTGGCTACGACCCTGTAGAGGAGTTGCCTTTTCGGCTATGCGCACATTTCAACGTATCCATCATCGTGCCCAGATTGTATGAACCATTTGACATCAAGAAGATATCCCAGAATCGCGTTTCCGAACTCGAAGGATTACAGAGACGCTTGATTTCTCTTTTTACCCTAACTTCATCGGCAGAGCAGCAGCTATCCGGCAGTGAACATAATACAAGAGGGGACGCAAGTATTCCATTCTTCTACGGCATTCTTCGCCCAGCACCCGCTCTTTCGCAAGGCGTGACATACGAGTCCCTTCAGCCTGAAGGCTTGTTGCCAGTGCTCTTACCCTTCCAACGGCGTAGTGTCCAGTGGATGCTCCTACGCGAAGGGAAGACAGTAACTCAAGAAGGCGGTGTCATTCCCTACACTTCTCCCCAGTCCCGGTTCTTCATGCCTCCATTTTGGGAGAAAATTTCTCTCGGGGGCCGGGAGCACTTCTTCAATACGCTCGTCGGCGTCGTAAGCTTTTCTCCTGTAGAAGACAACGTTGCACTAGGGGGCATACTTGCAGAAGAGCCAGGTACCTCGCAATACTATTGATCTCACTCGCGTTATATTAATGAAGTGCAGGGCTCGGGAAGACAATTGAATGTATTTCCCTCATTTTACTGAACCCAGCACCCGATCGCAATCCTACCAACAAACGATGGGATGCCGAAGCTAAGCTGGAAGTGAAGGAGATCAAGGTAGTGCGCCTACATGCCATCTGGAATACCAATTGATATAGACGTGCAACAGACTACTCTCATCGTCACTCCCCCTGCGCTTGCACCTCAATGGGCAGACGAGCTTGCTGTTCATGCCCCAGGGCTCAAGGTTCTCATCTACGATGGTTGGTCCAAAGTCGGTGTACCTATCACCCTGGATGATGTCGAAGACGAACGAGAACGACGGTGCACTGGCCAGAAGCATAAAGCTAGGAAAAACGGTTCAGTACAAAAAATCAAGAAAGGAAAGGCAAAGGCAATTCACGACAAGGATGATGACATACTTGATTGGTGCTCCTATGTGAACACATTTGATGTTTGCATCACGACATACAACGTGCTCCGTCAAGACTTGACTGTTGCCCGCGCACCACCCAAACGTTCTCATCGCGCACAGGTGGAGTACTCAAACCTTGACCGTCCTAGAAGTCCACTTGTCATGTGCGAATGGTATAGAGTGATTATGGATGAAGTACAAATGATGGGGACCGGCAAATCCGAGTAAGATGTCTCGTTCTATTGGGGATTAATTGACTGGATGATTCTGGCCTTCAGAGAGATGGTGTCTTTGGTTCCTCGATTATCTTCGTTTGCGGTGTCTGGAACACCAGCTCGTACTCAGGTTTCTGATCTCATTCGTGTTTTAAGGTTAGGTAGACTGACGCGTTTTCTGACGATACACTGATACCACTGACAGGTTCTTGCGTGTCGACAATGTTGTCGGTCCAGCTCGCATTTGGAATCGTTTGATGAAGCACACATTCAAAAAACAATTTGCTGACCTATTTCAACGATATGCTATCCGGTGAGTGATTTCAATGAAGAAATCCTTCGTGTCCTTATTCAACGCATGCTAGAACACTCAAGTCCGCAGTCAATGACGAATTAACCATCCCGCAGCAGCGGAGATATCTCGTTAGTATCGAGCTGGGAAGAGTTGAACGCCACGTAAGTCATGATGCCCTTGCTGAGAGACAAAATATGACGGTATCAAAGGTTTACGATCACCATCTCGAAGCAGCATTAGTTGAAATTGGTTTAGACGCACGCGGAGTTGCTGCTTCTGAGGGATGGCAGATTGACGCTACTCTGCTGCGAAATGTCTTGAGAAAGCTTCGTGGTATCTGTACTCATCCTCAAGTCGGACAGTTGCAGCGGCCAGGTGATAAGCCAGGTGCCCTCAAGAGCATCGGCGACGTTCTCGAGGCATGTGTTTTTCCTCTTTTCTTAATCCGTTGGGCTCATAGATGTCAGGCTATGAGAGACCAGAACTGGCGTAATTTCATGGATGATCGTAAGGCGAAGGCAAGCGTCGTCGTTCTTGGTATCCGTGCTTGCAAGAATTGATTCATCCCCCTTCAGGTTCAAGCCCTTGTTCGCTTTGCCCAGCTCCAACAACACAACGAGCAGAACCTTGATCGATACCAACGTGCTTTGGATTACCTCTTAACGGCAGAGCAAGAAGCAAATGGAATAATCGATGATATTAAAACCCCCATAGCAGAACACCAAGTCAAAGGAGAGGCGCTGAAAAACGAAGCGCGAACTCTCCGAGAATCTCGT